CTCCACGCACCTGTGCTCCAGGTAGGCCCTCAGGCGCTCTGCCACACAGGCCTCCTCCCACTTGCGCCTGGTGATCTGAGCCGCCATGTTGGCCGCGGTCCAGGAGCTCAAGTCCTCATTCAGGGCGATGTAGTCCTGGCCATCATAGGCATGCTGATAGTACCCGCGGAGGAGACGGCCGTCTGTGCTCATGTCGCAGCCATACATGGTCTGGAGGGTGTGAGAAGCTGCCCCGCCCCCACGGTCAGCCCGCGCCCCGCGGGGACTTTGGCCTACACGGAGAGGACACCGGGCCCACCCCGCGGCTCTTTCCCGGGGTGCCGGTCCCCCCGCAGCGCCCGCAGCCTGGGCTGAACCTCAGTCCTGAGACCCCGGGGGCTCAGGCTGGTCAGCGGGAGGCGGGGAGGGGTCGTGACCTCCGACCCGGCGGCGTCGCTCACCGTCCCGCTCTGGTTGTAGTAGCCGAGCAGGGTCTGCAGCCACACTTGGTAAATCTGTGTGCTGTCCTTGCTGATCCGTGTCTCCCGCTCCCAGTACTCGGGCGGCTCCCGCTCCACCCACGGCGCCCGCGGCTCCATCCTGGGGTTCGCGGCGTCGCTGTCGAAGCGCACGAACTGCGCGTCGTCCACGTAGCCGACGGTGATGAAGCGGGGCTCCCCGAGGCCGGGCCGGGACACGGCGGTGTGGAAATACCGCAGGGAGTGGGGGCCTGCGGGCGGCGCGGGTGAGAGCCGGGAGCGCAGCGGGAGCGGAGAAGGGGTTCGGCACGCGGGAGACGCAAAGGGGGTCCGAATGACCCCGGCGGCGCCCAGCGAGGGCACCGAGGACGGGTCAGGCGGAGGGGACGGGGACGCGGCTGCCCGGGCCCTGCCCCCCGACGGCGCCCTCACCCCACCGCCACCCCTCGCTCTACCCTGCGGACTCGTGTTGCCCACGGGTCCCAGACTCACCCGCCCAGGTCCCGGCCAGCGCCAGCACCCACGACAGCAGCCGCAGGACGGATCCGGGCGCCATGAGCCCAGATTGGTGCCAGAATCCGGGGAGAATCTGAGTGCCTATAGTTTCGCGGGGGACTTTAGAATCCGGGACCCCGGTGACACTGATTGGCTCCTCTAGAACCCGACAGCCAGTAGCAGCGAGATCTGCGGCGACGTCACCAGTGTCCGGGCAGAAGTGGCCGACACAGGTTGGACAAGTGAAACTGGGGAGACAGGGAAT